AAATGGTAGTCAAACTCCTTTGTATGAGATAAGTTTACTTTATTTAGCTTAAAGGGATGAAGGAGTGGTGGTTAAATTTTCCCACCATGATATGAGTAGACCTTACGTTTCCATTGAATTCTACATGGCCCTGCTTCCCAGAAGGTATTCTCATCCCGGCTGAAGTGGAATGAAATTTCCACCTCGCCTAAGTCTCATCATTTTTCGAATAAAGTATTATTTTTCGTGACTACCAGTAAATCAATTACTTCTACCAGTCCTTCATCACCCTAAACAAAATTGGGTGAATACCTCTCATACTACTGATTTACTGGTAGTCACGAAAAAACAATACTTAATTCGAAAAATAAAATATAGTAGTCGATTGTTATAGCAAAAGATACGTTTGATTCATCGAAAATTCCACAAAAAAACATATGATATGGAAAAAGGCCTGGCCTTCCTTGAAAATTCACATCTGCCTTGTGACCAAAAAAAGGCGCTCGTGGCAGTGTAGCCAAGTGGTTAGCGTGTCAAGCTACTGTCCTGCACTGTCGCGGTTCGAGTCCCGCTGAGGGTGTTGATAAGACAAATGCGAGGTCGAAACTGCAGTCCACTGGTGCCTGGATGAGAACAACAGTTGGGAATGCAAAACTATGTAAATATTCAATGGAAACGTCAGTCCAACTCATATCATTTGTGGGAAAATTATACTTCTAGCAGTCCTTCATCACCTTAAACGAAATTGGGTGAATACATCTTATAAGCCTCATCCACACCTCAATAAGGACTTGAGCCGTAATAATGTAGCGCATAATCTCGACACGTTGCCCATTAAGATACGCATCCACGAATGCCCTTAGCTCAGATGGCAGATGTGACCAGTCCTTCATCACCTTAAACGAAATAGGGTAAACGCATCTAATATATGTGATCCACTGGTAGTCTCAAAGACCTACTTATAAACATATGTGTGTATAGGCCTAGAACGCACAAGCTGATGAATGTGTGAAAGACGAATTTCGAGATCTATGAATATGTGTATGCGTGTAAGTCAGACTATGGAATCGCGAGTCCTAACTCTGAGTCCGAAGCCAAAGCTTTGATACCCAAACATATGCTTTTATTAAATCTCATAATCCTAAATGTGTTTATGATTGAGTTGATGAGTTTACTAGCTATTCTGAAAAAATCGAAATATGGTTAGTAGGGCTATTGGTTTATCAGCCCTTAGTGAATACATTGAATTCAAAGAATGAAAGTGGCAAGTTGAGTCAGGACTACTTATGTCTACTTAATAGACTTAAAGAGAGAGCGAGAGAGTATGTATGCATGTGTGTGAGTGTTGGGCAACTGAAGCGACAATACGACTCAGCTGGTCGGCTCTGAAGCGGTTATTACCGTATTCGCATTCGTTAGAGACACATGCCAACTTCAGCAACTCAACCAGACGTTCTTTCGGGATTACGCAAACCAAGTTATTTCATACCCCGGGTTATTGAACCCTGATGCAGCGACGTTACTGGTAATATGGTGCCCTAATTTATACAATAATAGTCGTAAGTATTTGCACACACACTCATATATAAAAGTTATTAGATTACTATGAAAAGGACTTGACAAATTTTTTTTTAATTTGTGGATATATATATATTTAGATAACTAAAAAGATATACATATATATATATATATATATAGGGGTATAAATATATAGCAAGTTAGAGTAGGTTAGTGCTCTTGAGCTGTCATAATGTCTGTCATACGAAGGGCGTTTTTACCTAAACTGAAGAAGTTTTTCATGTCGCTCGCGTCAACGTAGCAGAATCACACGACTTCAGAGTAAAGTTGTCGTTTGGAGGAGTTACTCAATCAGAGGCACTTTCACACTAAATAAAATTCACAATAACACTAGGAAGTTCTTACAGGAATCAAGCTGAGAAAGACGGCCGGTTATAATCACACCGACTCGATGAAACAAAACTTTGTCCGCCGAATGAAGAATCCCATAATTTGGTTGGTAGTTTCATCCTCTTCTGGTCTATCAACTAGGATTCTGGAGGCAACAGGCTTTATTGAGTGGGGTAGGAAGCTGAAAACGGACACTTTTAGCGACTTATGAACATCCTCGGATTGTCAGATTTCTTTAAACTCATCACTGCAAAACAATTCATCGCAATTTAATGACTACTTATAAAGAAATGTTCCGTAAAGCGGCCATGGAATTACCACTAAATTGTGCTCTCACTTGAACGACGTAAGCTCAGCACTGATTCTTTGTTGTTGTGGTACATCACCTTCGTACACATCAAAATTGACATTTCTAAATACATCCTCCTTATCTGTCCACTCGCCTTTTCCAACACAACTAAAGGTTAAAAAAAACTAATATTTTTCTGAAAAATTACAACCTACCCATCATTTTAACTTTCAGCTCATAGCACCTTCTACCCAATGCTTTTCTTGTCGGTACCTACTGCCAGTTGACTATTGGTTGTCATCTTTTCCACCGGTTCACTAGTTGCGTCTTTATCACTGTTGCAGGGCAAGAAACTCGGTGGATGAACTTCCGTGTTATTCTTGTGCCCAGTGTGCAAGTGATTGCCAGAAACTGGCGAAAAATAACTGGATTTCGTGGGGGCCAAAATGTCACCATGTTTGCTAATCACACACTTGACTTTAACCGCCCCAGCGGCTACAGCATTTCTGGGAATTACGATATGCACTTTGTCATCATTTGGCCCCTGGTCGTGCTGGCCCACTTCTTTCTGCCCTCTGCCACCCTGCCAGGCCCTTGGCTCCTCTTCCTCCCGCCCCGCTAGCTTTACATCTGCCTCCGTGTCTATTTCTCTGGTATCCAAGCCACTCACATTCTCGCAGTTCGCACCCGATGTGTAGTCTGAGTCGACCAACCCCATAACAGCTCTTCCAGATCGCGTTTCACCCTCATTTAAGGTCGTGAGTTCGGGAAAATCGTCACAATTGCCGTCCTGACAAGGTCCTGAAGGCACAGTCTTGCCGAAAGCTGGTACATGCAACTTGCCGCATCGTTGGCCGGACTCGTGAGCGAAGCGAGTTCGTTTATTTCCCGCTCGAACCGATTGACACCTTCGCTTGCGCAGCGATAGACATTTGGTCGGTGACATGGAGGCTTCGTCAAATCGGCCTGCGGTAGACTTGTCAGTTGCTAAGTCTTCCTGTTGTCCATGCTCGTTGTCCGTCTCCTCGGCCAGGTTGCAAAGACGAGTCTGATTGAGCGCCGTCATCAGCATCATCATCAAAAGTGTGTCCAAAAAGGCTTTCTGAGACTGCGTCTGAGGTGAGTGGTACCCCGCAGCCTCGGGTGCGGCAAAATCGGTGTGTACCTCTGGCTTGCTTGTCTCAGCGATTCGACTGGCAGTTGGAAAAACGGTACCCGCGGGAAGATTAATTGGTAGACTGGAATTGAACGGCTCGCATCCGGCCATATCGGCCGGCGGAGACTGGGAGATTGGTGCAATCTGTGTCATGGCAACAGGGCCGGTGTTTGAAGACGTGTGTCCGGGTGGACAGGCGCCGCGAACCGCCAGAAGGCACTGCCACCAAGTGGGACTCATGGCCGACTGGGTCACAAAATCGTCGACCCCCGGGACAACATTCCGACAGTCCGGACGACTCGGAGGCCGGCTGGTTGGTCTCATGTGCATTGGCTTTGCATCCGAGTCACTTCGGACGACAGAGGAGACGGTCAGGTCACCTGATGCAGGCGACGAGGTTGTCAATTGGAAAGCGGTCTCTGGGCAGGAGGCACTCGAGTATGCCAATTCGTAATGACCAGAATTCATGACTTTTTCAACTGTCGATGCTGTAGACACTTTTGACTTTGTTGCCTTGGCCACGGATGAGGTCAGCCCCGACGGCAAAGCAACTCGGCTCAGCGTTTCGTTTTCCATTGTTAAGTTTGGGCCTCTTGTATGATGCAAAAAGTTGAGGCTGTCCGGAGTGTAGGTGGACATTTGAGTTGAAGGGTCATCCTCATCTTCGTGGCGCGCAGTCGCTGATGACCACAATGATGCTTGGGACTCATCTGTAGAGTAATGCGCGAAAAGGATGATTAGTGGGCAACAGGGTTTGTTCGGTTTGTGGCAATTATTTATAGAATTCCAGATTATATCCATCGTTATATTTCATACGGATTGACTACAAAATAGATTTCCAGACTATCTGCAGCATTATGAGGCCTTATGTAATCGGGTTTTTCAGACCTCTGCTTAGACAAGCAGTCTCAGAGTGCTATTCACATCGAAAATAAATAGTGACGACGATTGTAATGTCACAATTCTGCTCTTAGCATAAGTATGAATCCCGATGGGGTGATGATAAGACCTGAGATATGTTGAAACAGCAGTCCACACTAGATGAAATAGCTTTTTCGGTGGCAAAGCTAGAGTAACTAGGTTCTACCTTTGTAAGTAGTTTTGAAGAGAAGACATTCGAAAACTTTTGATTTAAAATTATATTCAAAGGTCAAAAATAGAATTAACACAACTTTG